TCTGAAAATAAAGTTGCAATTCTGAGAAATAAAGTCGCAATTCTGAGAAATAGTCGCAATTCTGAGAAATAAAGTCGCAATTCTGAGAAATAAAGTTGCTGTTCTGAGAAATAAAGTTACAATTTGGAGAAATAGTCAGAATTTCAAGATATAAAATTACTGAGAAATAGTCGCAATTCTGAGAAAATCGCAATTCTGAAAAATAAAGTTGCAATTCTGAGAAATAAATTCGTAATTCTGAGAAAAAGTCGAAATTCTGAGAAATAGTTGCAATTCTTAGAAATAAAGTTGCAATTCTGAGAAATAAAGTTGTAATTGCAAGAAGAAAAGTCAGAATTGCGAGATTTAAATTTTTTCTCAGTATTGCGACTTTATTTCTCAGAATTGCAAATTTATAAAAATGTCATAATTGCGAGATAAAAATTCACAATGACCTTTTTTATCTTTTATTCAGTGGCGGAGACGGGCTTCCATAGTAAAGTGTTTGTGCATGAGGTGCTTTGATATTTAGTCTACTGAATGACATTTAGACAGTTAATAAGTATAAGTTGTTTTTGCATGGATTTATTCTGATGATGAATTACTAGGAATCTCCAGCAGGAATCACTCCAGCAGATTTATTGGATGCTTGTTCTTTCAGATATATCAGATGTGACGTGTCTGGTGTGTTTTGTGTCTCTGCGATCATGTGCTGTCAGAATAACTCAATCAAACAGTTACGCGGTCACGGGAGCGCTGGTATTTTCGGGAAGGTTTCATTCCGTCTCTGTTATCAGTCTGCTGTCGTTTATCTCACAAACGTCTTGCTGCTCGATCTGTGGCACGTCACATGTGATGGAGCTCGTTTGTTGCTCTTTCTTCAGCTGCTTTCACACGAGTCAGAGTCGCTGTCGGACCGTTGCTAATGAAAGAGCAGCTGCTCGTAAGTGACGAGATTACAGGAACGTTGAACCGCTGTCATCACTGACCCGATAACACTTTAAGATGTGTGTTGACCAACGAAGGGGTCACAGAAATAACTGTAAATCGTCATTATATACATATGACTTTATTCTGTGGAACACACGTGTTTTTACATGTGTGTATTTAATAAAAATAAATAAACTAAAACGAACTAATATATATATATATATGCTTGATTGGCCAGCCAACATGCCTGACCTGAAGCCCATATGGAGTCTATGGGATATTTTCAAGAGGAAGACGAGAAACAGTCGATCCAACAATACAGACGAGCTGAAGCTCAATAGTGGCACTGTAATATGATGTAATATAATGTAAATTCATTTGAGATATTTTTATACTGGTTTCTATTTACATTAAATATATATATATTTTTTATCATGTTATATTTAAATATTATAATTTTAAATATGTAAAAATATTATATATATAAAATAAATATTTTAATAAATTAATAAATATATAATTTTAAATAAATACATGAAATATTTAATTAAATATATAAAATCTTTATATATTTTGTAATTATAATTATATTTATTTTTAAAGTAAAGACATTTTTTTAAGTACGCAGAATGAGGTTTTGTAGCTGGAGCTCCTGCTGCCTTCAAGTCCCTCTGGGAAATTTTTCAGAAATCATAATTACTAACCCTAAAGAAGTTCAACAACTCATTTTGATCAACACTAATTAGTTCCACCATGATATTTTTAATCGACACAACAAGAAAATCCTGGATGATCCGGCTGATGCCCAGCTCATAAATCTGATTCCTCCATCCTGACATCAGACTGTACTTCTAATGTGCTGATTAGAGTTTCTCAGGCTGAAACAGACCGTCAGAAGTGTGTGTTAATGGCTTTTAACCCAGAACACACAGCCGGACCGAATCAAGAACCCATTCAGTGTCTCATCTTTGATTTGTCCCTCACAGGTTTCAAAGGTGAGATGATCGATCCGTTCCCACTTCTGATCACTAACAGCCTGTGTTCCCTGCGCTTTACTGCACGCTTCATGTCACCATGGCAACAGGGTTTTTAACTAGAACTAAGACCATAAAGTAAACTTTTATAAATATAAATACATTACAGATAAATAATATTACAAAAACAATCATAAATAAACTTTAACTGAAATAAAACATAAAATGCTTTACCTTAAATTAAACTTTCATAAATAAAATAAATAACAAATAATTTATATTAAAATACAGATAAATAATATTAACAAAATATAATTTTGTAATTACAATAAAACTTTTAAAAAAGTATTATGAAAAAATAAATGATTTTGTTATTAAAATAAACTGAAATAAAATATTAAATAAATGTAAATATATTTTTTTACTTGATTTCTCATTTTCATTTAGTTTAACTTGATGTACTAAAATAAATAACAAATATTTATCCATCCATCTGTTTTCCGTGGTTCGCAGAGGCAGCAAATAATTTATACTGAAATAAAAATAAATAATATTATAAAAAATAAATACTAATATTCATGATGACAATATACTTTAGCTGAAAAAAAGGAAAATATCATTTTGTAATTACAATAAAACTTTAAAAAAAGTATTATGAAAAAATAAATGATTTTGTTATTAAAATAAACTAACTGAAATAAAATATTAAATAAATGTAAATATATTTTTTACTTGATTTCTCATTTTCATTTAGTTTAACTTGATGTACTAAAATAAATAACAAATATCTATCCATCCATCTGTTTTCCGTGGTTCGCAGAGGCAGCAAATAATTTATACTGAAATAAAAATAAATAATATTATAAAAAATAAATACTAATATTCATGATGACAATATACTTTAGCTGAAAAAAAGGAAAACTGAAAACAATTAAAAACTATATAGACATAGAAAAACTAATAAAATGACAAAAACTTCCAAAAAATGTAACGTATAAAATTTTTTTAATATATAAAAAATACTCCAAATATTAATGAAACTATAATAGTATCTCAAAGATACTAAAATAACACTGAGAAAATTATTTCTGTCTTCTGTATCTCCTTTATATTACTAACATACGTCGGTTTCTGCAGCATGTTAGTGTGTATGGAATGAGACTCTGATTGTAGAGTAATGCATACAATATAAAGCGCAGTATTTACTGACAGATGTGAGGTTATGGAGAGGTGACACATGCAGTGCTGTGTGTGTCAGCAGATTCAGTAATGAGCTCGTGGTGATATGCTCTCGTCTGCATCTGCGTCTGTCGTCTGTTCAGATGATTTCAGTCCAGAGAGTTCAGACCTGCTGCATTCATGAAAAACATCTCGTCGGATCCAGATCTTTTTTAACCCTGGAAAATCTGTTTTTGGAAATGGAGCAGTGTATTGAACCTTTAGACAAAAATAAAAGCTTTTGATATTTGATGCATCAGGCTTTTATGGCTCATATAGTTTGGTATAGTGAGAATATGGAGGAGAAAACTGCAATTTGCTGCAGATGCTGATATTTATTGAATGAAATTCTGCTGCTTGTAATATAAATCAATGAGATCTTTCTAACAGTACAGCAGATACTGACATAAAATGCTATAAATATCAGTCGTCTCTATATCTCCAGTAATCTGTCTCAGTAAGATGAGATTGAAATGTTCCAAACATATAATGCAGTGATTGAGAGCTGAAGAAATAAAGGCTCCTCAGAAGATGTGAGATGTTCTGGAGGCTTGTGAAGATCATTCCTCCGCTGAGGAACAGTGAAAGTAAAGCTTCTGGAAACAAACGCTCCTCAAAAGATCCTGAGGATCAGATTTGAGACTCTAAAACATGATTGATGGAGAATCAAGTAAAGCTGAGCTGCTTCAGTCCAGTAAGTGTTCATCTGGAGATATTACTGCAGTTATTCTGATGCTTACTTGATAAAAATCAGTCAAGATTTGACACGAGAAGCAGCAGCTGAAGCTGGACGTTTGTGCAATTACAAGTAAAGTTTGATCATTTAGAAAGGATCTAATCATCAATCTAATATGATACAGCAAAATGCTGAAGAGTTTCTTCTTGTTTTCATGCAGTATAAATGAGGGTTAAATGAGCTTCAGTTGCTCTGGACAAATAAACACGCGGCTCTAAAGTCAACATCTGCTTTCCGTCGAGAGCCGCTCTGATGTGACAGAAGCTACTTATTAACCATTTTAGAAACACACTTCCTGTCTTTAGCTGTTTTTCCACAGCGCTGTTAGTCCAGCAAACACTTCACACACCTGAGCTAGTTACACACACACACACACACACACAATTCCCCGACTGAGAAAACGCACGTGAACTCAAGTCGGAAAGCTCTAATAATACAAATAATGGCCAATTCATAATTTTTTGGGGAATTTTTATTTATTTATTTATTTTTAATAAATAGGCACTGTTTAGGCACCGGAACCATTTTAAAAGTATCGATTTGGCACCGGTATCGAAAAAAAAAAAAAAACGATACCCAACCCTAACCCTGACACACTCGACACATGATGAGATTTTGAAACAGTGCGGATAATAACGTCAGGATAATGCTGCGGGATTTATATTCTGTACTTTTTTTTCATGAGAACTTTCTTTTCAGCCATTAAACTAAAACTAGAACCATAAATAAATTTGTTACTTGACATAAAATAAATGTTTAAGAAAATATATATAAAAAAAAAAAAACGTTTTAGGTCAAGTAACAGTTTTCTTATGTTTTTCTTTTTTTGATACTTCAACTTAATCATGAAAAAAATAGCTTTATTAAATAAGTTCAATTTTAATAAAGTTAACTTTTATTGAAATTAATGTTTATTTTATGTCAAGTAACAAATGTTTTTGTGTTTTTAGTTTTAGTTTTTCTTAGTACTTCATCTTAACTTAAACAAAAATTAGAAGTATTGCTTTGGCATCTAACTTGTTTTATATTTTATTTTATTCAAGTTAATGTTTATTTTATGTGAAGTAACATAAATGTTTGTTTTAGTTTTAGTTTTGTTAGGACTTCAACTTAAACTAAACAAAAATTAGAAATGCTACCTTGGCAACTAACTGAAAATATATATAAAATTTTTTTTTGTTATTTAGATGCCATGTCAAAATTTCTAAGGTTCCTTTAGCTTAAGATAAAGTACTACAAAACCTAAAACTGAAAAAACAAACAAACAAAAAAACAGTATAGACCTCTTAAAAAATAATAAATTACAGAAACACACAACAAAATTATGAAAATTTTAACTAAAACTTTAACTAAAATTAAAACGTTAATAATTTAAATATTTAATTAAAACTATAGTAGTATATTAATGATACAAATAAATTATGGTTGAGTTTAAGTTAACTGAAAGGTTTTAAATTGAAAGTCTTTTAAAGGTGACATATCATGAAAATCTGACTTTTCCAGGTTGTAAGTGCTATAATCAGGTCCCTGGTGCATCTACCAACCAAGGAAACGTGAAAAAGATTAACCCAGCAACTTTGTTTTGGGAAGTCTTTTTCTGCAAGCGTCTGAGAAAACGAGCGCGTTTGATTTTGCTCACTTGGTGACGTGGCAAAGGGATCTCATTATAATATTACCGCCCCATAATCTGTAAGTTTACACCCACGGCACCGTCATTTTGATTTCACAAGCGACAACGGTGTACTAGTTCTAATGCCATGGCGAACGTTTGAGCCAAACATGCTAACTGTTCTGTGTTTGGCTGCACAGATGAGCACAGAACACTGTTTAGAGTCCCAGCCTCAGAGGAGACGAGAGCAGTGCATTTATTGATTTATTTACTGTATATTGCTGCTGCCACACAGATCTAAAATAAACATGCGATTTATTTCCCAGCTGTTTACCTTCACAGACATAACCCACTGTTTTTGTAACTCATGTGTGTTTTTAACATAAACTTGTGTGTGAATGAGAACTTAGTTTAGTACTCACATGCTGTGACAGCCGCTTTCTGTACGTGTGCACTCAGAAAACCGTATATCAGAAGTTTAAACTAATGATTTCAGCGCGATAAACATGATAATCAGAAACAAAACGGATGTTTTTAGCAGGTTCGAGCTGTAACGGCGCAGCTCTATTCTGGAAAAGGGGGCGGGGAGCAGCAGCTCATTTGCATTTAAAGAGACAGGCACGAAAAACAGCCTGTTTCTGCTTCCACTCAAAATAGGCTCTGTGGAGTATTTTGAGCTGAAACTTCACAGACACATTCTGGGGACACCAGAGACTTAATATTACATATTGTAAAAAGGGGCATAATATGTCTCCTTTCAATATCACCACTGTATACTTGAGCACATAACCTGCTTTCTGGATGCTCTGGTGTTATTTGCTGATCAGTGTCAGTGTTTATACTGCGGTAGATTCACACAGGTGTAAATGGACGGGACTGATTACATTAGTTTGCACTGTTGTTGTGTTGTATTTTCAGCTTGTAACCTAACTTTTGATATTTCCCATCCTCAGGTTCAGCGTTCATGATGGTGAACACATCAGGCCGGGTCTCTGGTCAGCGAGCGCAGCTCTACATGGCGCAGTTCAAAGAGAACGACACCCACTGCGTCATATTCGAGTATTACAGCGCCGGTCGAGAGGGTTCGAGCCCTGGCCAGCTCCTCATCTACGTCAAGGAGAACAACAGTCCTCTGGGCATCGCCGTGTGGAACTCGTCCGGTCCGGCTCTGAAGAAATGGCAGCAGGTTGAGCTGGCCATCAGCACCTTCTGGCCCAATTTCTACCAGGTGAGAACGTCTTCATTCATTTAGTCATTTACATTTGTGACCCTGGACCACAAAACTTGTGTAATAATGCTGTAAAATGAGGATGCTGTCAAAAATAATGTCATAAATAGATTTTCTTTATCAGTTAACTTCTATTAACTGAATTAAATCAACATTTGGTGCGTGCATCCTTTGCGTTTAAAGCAGCTTTTGCCCTCGTTGCACTTGAGCAGAGTTTCTCAGGAGCTTTGCAGGAGTTTTCTTGAAGCGTCAGTTCTTCTGGATTGAGTCTGTCTCAGTTTGTTCTGTTTCTTCATGTCATTCCAGACAGACTGATAATGATCAGATCAGATCTCTGTGTGCAGCACAAAAATCTCACTGCATTATTACAATTAATGTCAAAATGAATGTTTGGATATGTAAACTGATATTTCCTGAAACCCAACTGGTTTTGTGGTCCAGGGACACGTATAATAAATAAAAAGAAAACAAGTAGATAGGATAGAAAAAAGAATAGGGAACGCTAGTGTTAGAGGGTCTTTTTTAAATAAAAATAAAACAAGTCAAAAGAATAGAGAATTGAACTTCGTTCGTATCCGCCGTTTCTTCTGTCATCCAGCGCTGCAGTGCGTCTCATTAATTAATTATGTTTCCTGTTGCTCTTGACACAAACCTACAAAGTGGCTCGTGTTTGACGACTCGACACCTGCCAGACTGCAGCAGCTTCCCGCTGGTCCACACGCCGCCGCCGCCTTAATTAAAAGAGGAAGTTCAATTATTTTTCGATGAAACGCTCCCCCATCAGCCTCACAAATGAGTTTGGTTTGTACCGACCTGCAGGAAGTTCCTCGAACCCTCGGCGTACGACATTCAGCAGCTGATGTATTCGATGTGTCATGATGAGAGGCGTTTCTGGATAAAAGCTCTTTTATGGACGCCATCGGGGATGAACATATGGACACAAAAAGAGTCATGTTAGGAAATGAACTGGGCAGAACAGACAGTCTGAATGAGTGAAACACCACCATAGAGCAGCACATGCTGTGTTTCACACTCAGACTGACATTATTGGACCTTAAAATACATAGAAAATTACATTTAAAATTATTAATACATTTAAATGAATAAATCAATAAAAAAATATGAATTCATAAATATTAATAGTAATAATAATAGAGTGCATTTTTCTGTTAATTTATTTAAAATATATAAAACATATAATTTATGTTTATATAATTTAATTAATCAAGTCAAGTCACCTTTATTTATATAGCGCTTTATACAATACTGATTGTGTCAAAGCAGCTTTACAGTGTCAACAGGAAAATAGTTTGTCAATAATGCAAGAGGACAATAACAAAGAGTCATTTTCCAGCTAAAGTCAGTTCATTGATGATTCAGTGATCCAGTTCAGCTCTCTTCCAATAGCGTCTGTGCAATCAGTCAAGCGTCCCCAACTAAGCAAGCAAAGGAACAAGGTGTGAACAAGGTGGCAAGGAACCAAAACTCCATTGGTGACAGAAATGGAGAAAAAACCTTGGGAGAAACCAGGCTCAGTCGGGGGCCGGTTCTCCTCAGGCCAGACGAAACCAGCATGGTGTGGTTTAATTCCAGGCTGCAACACAGGTCAGATTGTGCAGAGGACTCGTCTGGTTTCCGTGGTCTTGTGCTGATGGTCATTTAGGTGACGAGCGAATTTATATATTATATTTTTATTTCATTGGATCAGTGAAGTATGCAATCAAAAATAGCAATTTTAATTTAAATCACTTAATCATTTATTTCACATAAATATTTGGGATGGACGGGTCAGTAGGAGTGTTTGGGAAACTTGTTTGGAAATAATAGTTATTTGTGCTTTGAAATAGTGCAGAAACTACACACTTCATGAATGATTCAACGACTCACACATATAGACAATAACTTGGTTTGCTCCTGAATGAATCACTGTTTTGTTCTAATCAGTTCAGTGAATGATTCAATGACTCGTTCATAGACCGTAACCTTTTTTTATTTCCTTAACTTTACAACCAAACAAGGTCATTCATAGACAGTAACTTTGTTCCTAAATGATTCACTGTTTTGTTATAATCTGTTCAGTGAATGATTCAATGACACATTCATAGACTGTAACTTGGTTTGTTCCTAAATGAATCAATGTTTTGTTGTAATCTGTTCAGTGAATGATTCAATGACTCATTTATTGACAGTAATTAGTTTTTTCCTTAATGAATCACTCTTTTGTTTTAATCGGTTCAGTGAATGATTCAGTGATTCAATCATAAAGACAGCCACTTGTTTTGTTCATGAATGAATTGATGTTTTTGAATGAATCAGTTCATTAAATGATTCAATTACTCATTCATAAAGACAGTCACTCATCGCCACCTACTGGTGAATACATTTATTTATTTATTTGTTTATGTATGTATATGTATGTAGTTTCTGCATCACTGTTTAATTTCAAAGCAAATAGCAATTATTTTCCAAACCGGTTTCCCAAACACTTCTTTTGGTCTGTGCTTCTTCAATACTCATGAGAATTCAAATTGAGACTGAGATTTTTGATTGCACACTTCACTCTCTTGTCAAATCCCAGCACAGCATCATTGAGATCTCTTCTGAAACTCAAGAGCAGACTCATGCGAGACTCCTGAGGTCTTTTTCTCAGGAGAAACAGCTGAGAAGCATTAGAGACTCTCAGTGTTGAGTCTGATGTGTGATTTCTCTTCCGTTGGGAGCACACTTCATTTTGAGTTAGTATTTTATCATGAGCATCAGCGTCCTCACGCTAACAAATAACCCCGATGCTCAGACACGCTCATCAAACGCGCGGCTCTCCCGCGAGAGACTGCTGGACGACTGACAACAAAAGCATCCAGAAGTCCTCAGAGAAATAAGCAGCATCTGCCAAGAGACACGAATCACGTCTCCATCCTGCCGCGGCGCGTGCGTAATTGCTGAGAAATGTGATTGTGACTTTTTAATACAAGCAGAGATTAACAATGCAATCTCCAATTCTTCAGTGCTGTGGCTAATTAGCGATTCTTGGCTAATTGCAGGTTTGTGTAATTGCACTGTATCTTAAGAGTTTGTCAAGTTGAAACCACCTGCTACAGGGAAAATCCTCCGCTCTCTTATTTTGTAATTACAGGGTTTGTGTTTTTATCTCCTGTTGCGCTTTTCTTTTAGTGCACAACGACTAATTGCGTGGCGCTCGCTTCTGTTTTAATTGACAGTATAGTTTGAGTATGCGAATTGTGTTAGTCCCGTAATGCCGGGACATTTCACGCTGGATATTTTTAATGCACAGGTGAGATGGAGGATGAACGCGTGACCTCTGACCTCTGCTTTGTTCCTGCGGAGCTGAGAAACTGTGCGCTTAATGCTGATTGACAAACAGATGCGGCTTGAGTCTTTTGAAAATAAACACCAGAACAAAAGAGATCAGACTCAAACGCTGAAGATAAATGCTATTCGTTTTCTAAATGACGTTTGAGTTGCAATTATTAACATCGTCTGTCATTTGATGCGCTGATGGGCGTTACAGGAGGTCATGCGTGCCCAAAACCCAATGAAACAAACTAAACTTTTACATGAGATTAATTATGTAATTAGAGAAGAACGGAGATCAGATTATTCTTGTTTGTTTTATTCAGAAAGTTTTCTTTTCAGCTACAGTATTCAACAGATCAAAATAAATGAGAAGCGTGTTTAAAATATAGTATCTTCAATTACAGATATTCATGTACAGACTGAAGCTATTGTTGTATTTCTTTACTTCATAATTCATTTTATTCATGAGATTATAAATTGATCCAGTAAAAACAAACTCCAATTTAAAAACAAACCGAGCATTTGGTCTTAAAGTGACAGCAACCTAATAAACCAAGAAGAAAAAAAACCTTAGTAGCTTTAAAAAAGATCATTGTATATTTAATTGTCTTATTTTACATTTGATTATTAAATTTCTATTTTTACCTCTTCAAAGCACTCTTCATATATATATATTTGTCTTATTGTTTGTAATTATATATATATATATATGTATATATATGAGTATTGTACATCTAACATTGTATAATATGGTAAATATGGTATCCTAATTATACGATATATAATTATGTAAGGGAAAAAAATATGCCACATCACAAACAAATAATGGTGAATTCATGGTGGGACTGACTTTATGTTCTGCTCACAGTGACGTGTGGGAATCTCACGTCTCGCTCTTGCACGAGTCCATCATAAAACCATAATTAGAGGCCTTGATGCTAGCGAGCGTCTGCTAAACGACAGCAGAATGAAAATCAATTTGATTGGCCTAATAAAGTGATCCGTGTGCCGCTAATGATTCATTTAATTTGCTCTTTTGTTCAGGCCGCATTGACAGTGTCTCATTCAGGTTCTCCTGAGAAACGTTTACTGCTGAATGATATTAAAGATCTGAACTCTGAGAGCGATAATGACTCAAAACGTACCAGAAAATACCACGTCATTACTATGGACATGCTACCGTGATAATTCTTTGAAGTAACATGTGAATATTATATGAACATGGTATTAGTACCTTGGTATATGAAAATACCACAGTATTGCTGTGATTTTGACATCATAACATGTTAATATTGTATTTTAATATTATACTTTTAGACTATTATTTAGAAGTATTTTGCAAATATAATGTAAATTTATCATGGTAATAATAAAAGTACCTTGATATTTTCATCTGTTTTTTTCATGTCATCAACAATTTTCATTTTACTTTTAATTAGGAAAATGGTTTGAGTAGAAAAGTTTGATTAGAAAAGTTTTAAGAATTTCATTGTGCGTTTGTCATTTTTATTCTTTATTATATTTATTTTTGGCTTTAATTTATTTTTTATTTCAGTTTTAGTTGTAATAATTTTAGTACTTATTTTATTTCAACATCTCATTTCCGTGTAAGTTTTTCATCTCATATCAGTAATTTTATTTCAGCTTTATTTCAATGCACAATATTTATTAGTTAACAAAAAACACACTGAAATAACTTCACTCAATACATTCACTATTTTTTTTTAAATTGAATTGTTGCTCATGAGAGATACAAAGTAATATGGTATCGTATTGTGTTTTTAAGATTTACCACGGTTATACACAAATATCATGGTACATTAATATGGTAATATGTAATATTTCAGTGTCAAAAAAGTACCATGGTGTTATCATCTGATATATATTTTTATTTGTCCAGTGGACAAAATAGGAAAAATTCATATCATCATATCACATGCGGGCGTCGGTGATGATACAGCAGAATTATTGTGCTTTTCTATAGATGTGCTGTGTTTTTCATTAGAATCATAATCAGATTTGCACACCCTCATGTGTTTTGCATTCAGTAAGCGCAGACCGTGTTGTATTTTTGCGACCGGACCGTGATGATATCAGGACTTTTGGCCATGTTAAGCACTGGACCGTCTCTGGAGCTCCTGCTGCGTCTTCAGCTCTGGCATAGACACAAGATCCTCCATGCACAATATGAGGAGGAGGAGACCATGAGAGGAGCAGCGCAGTGCTGCAGGGCTGCCTGATGTCAGCGTTCATGCAATCTGAGCACGTGGCTTTAACCTGCTGTTTCCTGTGTGATCAAATAAACACTCACAGGTGCTTCAAAACAACGCATAACAACATGCAAACTCTGTGAGAAACACAGGACAACATAGATCTGCACCAACAATATCCTGATTATTCTTTGACTTTAAATATAAACTTTAAGCACCTTATGTCTGAACATAACATGTTTTGTGTCTTTTAGTTTGTGTTTCCAGTCTCCAACATATTGATGACTCAAGTTGCACTACACAGATTTCTGTCCAATCAGATGCTTCTGTCCAAAAAGCTGTGATATAAACTAAAGTCTATTGGCTTTTTAAAATATCTTTATCTTATAAAATATTCTTTGTTTATATTTTCTTCCTGTCCTTAACATCAACCTGCCAAAAGGGACTACGGATGAAAAATAGCCAGTGTTGGCTAAATCTGGCGCATTTTACATATTTATGTACTATTAATGTGCATTGTCCCTGATTAAATAAATAAATGGAAATGGAAAATAAAAGTCACAACTTTTTGATATGCTGTGTTTATTTGGAGACACTACAGGTGAATACTACATGTTTTCAGGAATAAAGTGTTATATAAATCAGTGTGAATGATATATGAACAAACCCCTCAGTAAAAGTCTTCAGAATATAGAGAGGAATAAAACTGTAAAGTTTGGTGTATATAAGTGCTGCTGAAGTGGAGAAAAAAATCTCTTTAAAGATATGGATTGGAACTGAAATCTACAGGCGTTAATAGATAAAACATTCAAAATACACTTTTAAATGCTTGTTTTAGTGCATTTTATTTCCATTAATCTGAAACAACACGTTATGAAAAGTCAAATTGCCCAAAATCTCAAAATTGACCAGTGCATGAAAGAAACTTTTGGTTGTAGCGTCTCGCCTCGTTTTTCCCTTTTAATTCATCTTTTAATTGGATAAAACTAGGTTCAAACATATGTCATATTAGAGTTAAAGTTTTTTTCCAGGGGAGATTTTGAATTTCTCCTTTTATCACTCCATAAATCAGAAAATACTTTCAACTGACAGAAAAAAATCGCTATGTTTTTGGGAATAAACTGTTGTATAAAATCAGGTGAACGAACCCCTCATTAAAAATATTCAGAATATAGAGAGGAATACAATTCTAAGTTTTGGTTTATGTAAGTCGCTTTGGATAAAAGTGTCTGCCAAATGAATAAATGTAGAAATGTAGAAAAAAACTCAGAGCCTTTAAATGTATGCATTGTCGCTATGTTTGTAGGAGTAAAATGTTGTATAAATCAGTGTGAATGATATATGAACAAACCCCTCAGTAAAAACCTTCAGAATATAGAGAGGAATAAAACTGTAGGTTTTGGTGCCTGTAAGTATTACTGAAGTGGAGATAAAACTCACAGTTTTTAAAAATATGCATTTTTGCCACGTTCGTAGGAGTAAAATGTTGTATAAATCAGCGTGAATGATATATGAACAAACCCCTCAGTAAAAACCTCCAGAATATAGATAAGAATAAAACTGTAAAGTTTGGTGTTTGTAAGTGCTGCTGAAGTGGAGAAAAAACTCTTTAAAGATTTTATTGGAATTTAAATTTACACACACAAATAGATAAAGTGCAATAATATAAACACTTAAATATGTGTGTTTTTCCCACTAGTCTGACAGAAGACATGATATGGAAGCAAAACAGACCTCAAAACTGACCAGAGCATGAAAACACACAGATTTTGCCTGAAGTGTCTGGCCTTAAACGCTGTTGTGAATCTCTGATAATGCTGATGAAGTGTTGTGTTGGCTGGTTTCTCTCAGACTGACTCTCTGTCTCTGTGTCTCTGGTTTCAGCTGGTGTTTGAGGCGGTGGGGACCGGTGAACGGGGTCTGCTGGCCGTCAGAGGAATCTCGCGTCAGGGTCATCAGTGCAGTAAGTGTCATGAGACGTGAACACGTGTGTCACAGGGCTTCACTATCTGCTGCCGCCACACAGAACCGACCCTTTGAAAGCAGATTAAAGAACACAGTCACCAAACACTACAATCCCACAATCCCCTCTGCTCTTGTGTGTTCCTCTGTGACCTCAGATGATTACAAACACTCATCACTCACTAAAATATGTTCTAGCCAGTTACACAAAGCTAAAAGAACGAGTGTGTGTGTGTGTGTGTTGATTTGTTTCAATGTGAGTCACTTTGACCGTTTTGTAGTAGCTTATTTCTATTTTGCTTCTTCCTTCCTTTTCATCTGATGTCACTGAGGAGGCTGTGCGGGTTAGTTAATGTTAACTAATAGCCAATTAGCTGTTTAGTCACTGTTTAGGCTGCTGTTGTTGGTGATTCAGCCACATTTTAAAGGGACGACCCAGAAATGATCATTCTGTCATCATTTACTCTCCTTCATGTCGTTCCAAACCTTTATGATTTTCTTATGTTGATGTTTCCTATGCAATTACAAAGAACTGATGCTTTAAAAAAAAAAGACACTAAAACTCACTGAAGTATTGTCGTCCATATGACTTGTGCTCTGTATTTCAAAGCTTCTGAAGGCATATGATGCTTTGTGTTAGAATTTTTTTTTATTTTAGTATTATTTATTATATATTAATACATTATGTATTAATTAATATATTGTTTATTAATATTTTGAATGATCTTTTATTTTTATCTTTTCATCCTTTTGTTTTTTTTAGTTTCATTTAGTTTCATTTTTAGTATTTTTGTTATGTGCTTTTGACATTTATATGAATAATTATTATATAATAAATGTAATTTTGATAGCACCTTTTTTTACATTATAACAAGCACTTCACATGAAAACAAGTAAATTATTAATATAACAAGATAAAAACAGAAAACAAAAATTAATATACATACTGTAAAATGCATAACAAAACATGGAACTTAAAACCAAATAATAATAAAACACAACGTCGAAAAAAAAACTAGTCTAATCCTAGATGAAAGACGAAGTAAAAAGCTACTTAGAAATATTTTAAAATAATATATTTTAAATATATATCTTTCGGTAATGTCTTCTATCGGTTTATTTATTTTTAAAACATTTTTTAGTTTTAATTTAAGTTTTTTAAATGTAATTTTATTTCAGTAATTTAACTGAAACGTGTTTTAACCAAATAATAATAAAACACAACGTCGAAAAAAAACTAGTCTAATCCTAGATGAAAGACGAAGTAAAAAGCTACTTAGAAATATTTTAAAATAATATATTTTAAATATATATCTTTCGGTAATGTCTTCTATCGGTTTATTTATTTTTAAAACATTTTTTAGTTTTAATTTAAGTTTTTTAAATGTAATTTTATTTCAGTAATTTAACTGAAACGTGTTTTATTTCAGGTAGTGTTCAGGGCAACAAGTTTTTAATTTAATATTTATATTTAATTTTATTTCAGCTTAATTTCAGTAATTGAAAAATCTATTTTTAACATTTTAGTTGCAGTTAACAATGACGTCACTGAAACAAACCCAAATTTAAATAATTGTTTTTCACTGGGCCTTTAAATGCTGAAGCTCCACTGGTGCTTTTGTAAGGATCAGTTTTCATAAACAGCAGTTGATTATGACAGATATAAAGTCATATGGCATCACAATCTCATAATTAATAATCGTCTCTGAATGTCTCGTATAACGTGGTTCATCAGCTGATAAATGAAAGCGCGTTTGGTTTTGAATGATGTTTCTCTGAGCGTCTGACCTTCACTCTTTCACCTGCTCATCCATCTCTCCTCGTCTGTTATTCATCACTCTTAGAGTCGTTCCCTCCGTCTCTCTTCCCTCGTTCGTTCTTAAACTCCTGTTTACACGTGAAGTCACTTCATTTCCAGGGAAATGCATGCAGATCATGAATCCTCCAGTATCAGATCGGTTGAGTTCAGATCTTTAAATGAAGGTCACGACTAATTAAAATCACATGAACTTTCATTAAGTCACCTTCACTAGTTACTCTGATTTCTGAATTCGTTTTTTCTCTGTTATGAATCTGATGGACGTTTCTCATTCAGGCTGATGTGTGTGTGTGGTGTTTCTATGACCTTTTCTCACGCTTCGCTCTCAAACTTATACATGAAATCACATTATTTCCAATTAAATGCATCACATGTTTGTGTTTTTATGTGCACAGTATTATTTATATCATACTTTTTATTAAAAATTTTCATTTGAGTTTAATTTCCAGTTTTTTAGGTTTCACTTTTATTTTAGGTTTTATTTATTTTTATTTATTTATCTTTATTTTAAAATGGATTTAGTTTTAAGTCAGTTTTAAGTCAGTTTTAGTATTTATTTATTTCAACAGTGTGATCCAGTTAGATGCATCGCATGCATTTGTGTGTGTGTGTGTGTGTGTGCTCATTAGTGTTATTTTATTATTAGTTATGTCATATTGTAGCTTTTATTTAATTTTAAATTATATGTTAATTTTGTTTCTATATTTTCAGTTCTCCTTTTAATTGTAGTTGAATTTTTAGTAATTTTATTTTAGGTAAAAAAATTTTTAAATAAAAATATTTTTTTTTTTTGAATTTTAGGTTTTATTTATTCATTAATTATATATATATATTTTAATATATGGACTTATTTATTTTTTAAAAATGTATAAAAGATTTTTATAAAAATCGTATTTTTTATATTTTTTTATATTTTATCATAATAATATTATAGTGTTTTATTTACATTTTATGTTTAATTTTATATTTTCAATGGTCATTTTCTTTTTAGTTTATTTTTTTTAAATCTTAGGTTTTAACTTTATTTTAAAATGTAGCTTTAGTTCTGTTTTAGTTTTTTTTTTCTTCAAGTTAGTAAATTTAATTTGGTTTTAGTTCAGTTTTACTGTTTGTTTTATTTCCAGTAATTTTAGTAATTTTACTGCTTCAGAATTATTTTACTATTTTTTTTATTTTATTTTGTACAGCTTTAACACAGCAGTTCCATCCATTTCTATTATCTCTTGCATTTTAATGAGCTTTTATTTTTATATTTTCACTTTTAATTACATTTTTAGTACTTTTTTAGTATGTTAGTATTTCATTTAGTTGCCAAGGCAACATTTGTCATTTTTGTTTAGTTTAAGTTTTTCATATAATATTTCTATTTTGTTTTATTTCAGCTTTGTCGGTTTTGTTAATGCTAGTAATAATTCTGGTGGTCAGTGAAGAACAAATATCTCTCTGACTGACGGATCTGTATTCCCTCTTTACAAACAGAAAAGCAGCAGAACATCTGATTGAATAAACACGCGCACACACACTCACACACACACACGCGCACTCACACTCACACGCGCACACACACACACACACACACGCGCGCTCACTCGCACACTCACTCACTCACTCACTCACTCACTCACTCACTCACTCACTC